TATATATATATATATATAANACACACACACACACACACACACACACACACATATATATATATATATATATATATATTTATTATATATTATATATTATATTTTTGATACATCTTTTCACAGTCTTTATTTTTTGTCAATTATTATATCTTAATTTTCTCAATTTGATTAAAATCAATAGAGAAATTTTAATTATAAACTTTTTAAGAAAACAATAGTAAGCAAAGGAAACGAAAACGATAAAGGATATTGTCTGATTTTTTTTTTATCCTTTTTCTATCCGTTAACGAAGTTTTTACTTTCAGGAAATTTAGTGACCATGCGCAATGCAGTTGGTAGGGTCAGTGCATGCTGTATAGAAGCTTTTTATTGTTTTTTAGAGCATAGTGGCACTGAGTAGCGTTTCGTTTATGGTTTAGGGACATGTGACAATAGAGTCTGTGTTTGTGCGCATTGTAAATTGCTTCCAGAGCGTCGCAGTCTCTTTGACTTTTTAATCGCGAAGGTTTTTTGTTGGCAATTTTTCGTTTCGCTTTGATATTTTTTTTTTTTTCATTCTTTTTCATCTATATACTTATATTTTTTCTTTATTACATTGCGATGAATATCATTAGGCTCATATTTAAGAAAAATTTTAAATTTGAAAAGAATTAATAGAAACTAGAAATTAATGTTTATAATATATAATCTGTTTCCATATTAGAAATTCATAATTTTTTAAAACTTTATTGTTAGAAAATTGGTATCTTCTGTAAATTTGCATTTAATGCATAATGCAATTAATATATTTAAATTTCTTAAATAATTAATAAATTTTAAGAATTTAAATTTTCAACTTTTCTTTAAAATTTTTATTTAGATATAATAGTTTGTAGATAAGATAATAACTTTTTTTTGTTTTTGTTTTTGTTTTTCACAGATTCTTTGCAATTTTTCATCTTTATCCATTGACATAGAAGCTCTACCTTAATGATGTTCCTGATGAATTTTCTTGGAAGCTCATCCGATGACTGCTCATCTCAGAGTAACAGTATCGTCAACCTACTGGTATTTGGGCTTTTTCACTATTAGTTTCATTTATTTTCTACAAACGGTGAGTCTTTTATTTTTTAATTCCTCCAGTCTCCAACCATATCATAAAATGAATGAATCAATATGGAATGACTGGTTGTATTTTTTTTTTTTTTTGGATTTGGCAAGTACAGTGACCATAAATATATAATATATTCATAAATAATAATTTTATATTTTTTGAGATAATAAACTTAGAATTCTATTATATTTTTAATTTCTAAAAATATTTTAAAAGATATATTATATTATATTTTAAAAGATATATTATATATCTTATATTATATGAGATATATAAATCTTCTTATATTCGATAAATTTCGTATTTATAAAGAAGTAAATTGGAACGAATGTTTTGATTTTTGAGGATTAACATGTTGATATGAATCCCTCGGGTTTTAAATAGTAGCAGAATTTGGTCGTATTCAAATATCCGAATTCTCGTTATTGTGATTGTTGGACGATAACAATAATAGTATTGGTAGCAATAAATATTTGTTAAAATATTTTAATCGATAAGAATGATTTGAGTTATTATCTGTAATTTGCATATTACATGCGTAAAACAGATCATAACTTTTGTCTTGTGTATTAAAATCTCTATAAATGTTTTTTATATGATAATTTAATCATTTTTCATAAAAGTATGCGAATCAAAAATTAAATAAAAAATAATAGGAGTAAAATCAATTTTTTTTTATATTTTGCACGTTCTTTGTTTATTGCCTCGTTATGTAATTCTATTCAGTGTTAGTTAAATAGACAATTGACTATTTCATAATATTATATAATATTATTTATAATTTACAAGCGATTAACAATACATTGTTTTGTCAATGCGTAATATATTTTCAATATATATCTATATACAAATTTATTCGTGTTTAGTTTACGGTTAGTTTGTGGTAATTTTATGGAATTGCATCGGAAACCTCTTAAATAATCTATTAATATTATCCATAGTTTTGGATATTATAAACCAAATCATCCGATACAGTTTTACTATCAGAAAGTAGCAATTATTAAAATATCACATCTATGAAACAATAATAACTGCTAATTATACGTGTGTACAAGTAATAGACGAATATTTCATTAGAAATAGTAAAAAATAATAATAAGAAAATTTTGAAATAAAATGTTACTTTATATATAAATATAAAATGCGAATATCCTTTATGTAATGGTGACCAACCTCTGCCAATCGATTTCAAGAAAATGATATGTATTACTTTAAATGATACAAGTGTGCCAAACTTGGGTGTCGAAGGCGTCTCGAGACGTTCTTTCCAGTATAGGTCCTTGCACTCAAGTGTATCACACAGAAAAATCTTTAAACGAGGTCTGTGTAGGTTTGCCACGTAGCAAAAATTCGATTGGTTTGTTCGGAATTTTCACATTAACGCTTGTTCCATTGTAACGTGTGTCATTTTATTTTTTTAATGTGTTAAATATTCACGTTGAAATAAATTAATGTTGAAAATTCCGTTGGATATTTGCAAAGTATTGTATTGATATAAATTAGCGTTGAAAATTCTATTGAATATTGCAAAGTACTCGCGTTGAAATAAATTAGAGTTGAAAATCCTTTCAATGAAATCAATTTCAATTTTTATTCTCTCGCGGCAACGAGAGAAGTGCTTTGTAATTTGAACTTTGCATTTTATCGAAGAATACGAACGTTAAATAGGTGGAATCGTAGATCATTTACGCTTCTTAAGTTTTCTACTTCTCTTCGAAATTAGTGTTCCTCGAATGCTAAAACTTGAGTTTGAGAAAGGGAAAAAAGAGGCTGTGTGCCGAAGAGGCCCGGCAAATTGCCATGCAAGAGGGTAACTACTAATGGCTCTGCATCTTCGGATGGAGGGTCATTCTTTTTATTATTCTGTCACTGTACTTGCCTGTAGTAATAGCAGTAGTAATTAACTTTGCATGCATTTTCACGTGAAGATATTGGAACAATCCTTAAGTTTAGGTAAGTGATATGAATTGTTATTGTGAAGAACTATTAATTTTAATTAATCCTTCAAAGTAGTTTTGAAACCTTGGTTTAAAATGGCTTTATAAGTTGCGTTTATCGTGATTTTTTTAAAAGTTGTGTCACGATTTAATAATCGTATTATCGTCATTAAATTTGATTACACAATGTTGCTTTAGAGCGTACCGTGGTATAATAATTTCGCATTTTTTTTTAACACTTTTTTTTAACAATAAATTGCGCGAAAGTCCAAATTAAATTATATATTCGCGTATTTAATATAATTTTTTTTTTTAATTTCAAACACAATATATTTTTTTCAACTCTGTTTAATTTTAATTTTTAACTTATTGTCTTAATGCGAAACAAGGGTGGGGGCGTATTTTAATTTTTAAATTTGCAACGCGAAACAAACACGTGTCTTAATTTGCCAACCAAGTTGCAAACAATTTAAAATCTTTACTAACGATGAATTGTAGCGTAGAATTTAAGAACTAACAAAACTACCGCATTATACAATTCTCTTCCGCAGTCTTTTGCACGCTTGTACTAGATTTTCTAGATTAGTGTCATGCATTATGAAACATAGTTGCACGAGATTTCATTAGGATTGCGAACAACGAAGCAACCGTTTTCGTTAGTTACTTTCTTTATTTTACATTCGACTTAATTACGATTATGATTAATTAAGCATCCTTTATACACGCAAATTCTTGCTTTTTTTACTTAACAAATTAGCATGGCTTGCTTTTGTATCTTCTTTTCGTAGATTTTCACATGTGTTTCGAATAAGAAACAACAAGCACGGTTAGTTTATTTCAATGATAGCTCTTAAGAATTTCATTTTCAGATCGTACATTTAGAAAGTTTAATATTTTTTGGATATATTCACATTATTCCCCATATTCACTTAACTTTCGATCGAAAGGGAACAACTTTCCTCTATTAAATAGATACTTTTTTGTCGATAATTACTATAATCTGATCGATACAACAATCCTTTCGTTAGATGTAGATTCTTGTAGAATCGATAATTTCGTAAGTAATTAACGACTACATACCGAGAATAACCGCTCGAGAAACCGAAGTATAGCCACCGCAAAAACGAGGAGGGAGAGAAAAGGTCTGGTTTTACATTGCACGGAAAGGATCGCGTGCAAAACCCCGCGGATTAAGAGATGAGAGAGCCTCATATGAAATATTTATCCAGTTAAAGTCGACGTGTATATTTTTACGCATTTCTCTTTCTCTCTCGCCGTTTCCCCCTCTTCCTCCTTGGAGACGGTTCAAACACGAAATTAATTGAGTTTGCGGGCACGGTTTCTTTAAAATCGTGGAAAAGAGGGCACCGGTTATTCGGCCAGATTACTCGTAATCCTTATTTATAGAGGGCGATGTAATGGAGGAGGAACCGTGGCGCCCGCTAATTTCTTTAATCACGATCGTTCCGAGTAATAAGTGCCACCTGTTCCCGATTGCTTCCCGCTTCGATTATCGAACCAACGATCTAGGATACGTGTTATAATAAAACGCGTTGACGTTGATTCGTTGCGGAATGGATAGAAGGTTCAGGCTTAGGTTAGTTAAAATTTTTCTACGCAATGGAAATTTATAAATTGAATCGAACAAACGTTTATATCATAAAATTATAAAAATTGTTCAAATCGATCTTCCGCGAGATATTGGTTCGTAGATAGAAATTAAATATTCGCAAATAATTAAAAAATTTTCGCTTCAATTGTCACGAATCATATCTGATACTCGTTTCTCGAATAGAAGAGGAATATTCTGGAAGCTTTATTGATTCGTAAACGAGATTCGGTGTAATGCAAAGGATCACCGCGTCGTATATTTCTGTTTGTCGTCGCGAAACGATTCTAAATCCTTGATAAATCGCAGGTAGCTGGTTTTGCAAAGCGCTCGATTTTGTCATCGAGGCATACGTGAAAGGAAGTGACGATACTTCTTAGATATTCTTTCGGGTTAATCTGGCGGTATAAAGTAAACTCTGGACGAAAAGAAAAGTGACGATTTGTCAGGACAAATGTCGAGCTTGACGATCGTACTTTGATGATCGATAGTATCTTTGTAAAAAGGCGACGAAGCGAAAATATAATTCTTTTTTCTGAAAATAGATTGCAGTTTTCTATGATTTCGAGATTTTGGAAATAAATTACGTAAAAAACGTTTGAAAGAATTTGTCAATTTTAGAATCCTATATTTTTTCAAAAATGAGAATCAGTTCATAGAAAACTGTATTGTATTGTAAATTGTATTGCATTTATTCATTTCTATTGAATATGTTTATTTTAGGAATAGATGTAAATTTTGAATATCAAAAATTACAATTAATTCGCATCTAATTCATTGTGTTAGTTATTTGAACAAGTATATAAAGCGTTTGTCGATTTTTTTTTGTTGGGATGATTCGATTCGGTTTCACAATTGCTTCATAAATTAAACACTTGAACGATAAAATAGTAGTAATTAAAATATTGTTGAATATTTCATTCATCCTCTTTCCATTGTGAAGAATAATTACGATAAAAATAAACGACAGATGCAAATATTAAACGTAATATATTTCAATCTTTTATTTTAATCACTTTTCAATTATACGTGATTGAATGAAATCGATTATACTCGTTCAATCTGTAAAAAGGAAAAGAAAAAGTATAATTGGAACCCAGGTATAATTTACAGAGATATCGAAATAAATAATAATGATATTTAATTATCAAGCACATATCCCTTTATCTCCTGCATTTTCACGTGCATAATGAGATTCAATTAGGGGCAAGTTTGCGATAAATTGATCGATTACGATTCTTCAATGGAATGAAAATAGGAATTCAACGGGCAGAATAATTCTTAACTATTGTCTCGATGATGTTACGCGTCTGGTATTCGTGATTCCACTATTTTAATTCATTCCGTTATACGCTCAATTTAGAATTATACAATTTTCATACAACTAATCAACCATTATTTACAGTAACAAATCGGTGTAAACTCGGTTATAAATTCATACGTAACTGGTACTG